AGCTTGGAGAAACTTTTTGGCATTTTTTGAGGTGTTTTACGACTAAATTAGGTATTTTAGAAAGAAGGAGGAAATAAGGAATCACAATATTTACATTCTATCTCGCTTATCCCACTCTGGCGCTAACTTACCCCGCCCTGGAGTTGCCACCCTAGCGGCATCTGGCCTACCCTGGCGGGACAGTGACCCAGAACTTTTCCAAAATATTTGCTTTTCCTAATTAACGATGGTTTGGGTCGTTACAATAGATACCAATTTACCCCTTGTTCGTCCCTGAATGACTAGTTCGCGGATATCACATGCTCTATATTCGAGATACTTCCAACTTATGACTTGATCCATCACGAGAACCACGATGGAGGTGACTTTTCCAATTATTAACACACGAAAGTTACTATACCCTAACACTAGAAGAAACCCTAAGGAAACACACGAAGATCGTACACATTTAATATTACACAGCCTGGCCCGCCAGGGCGACAACCCTCTTGCTGAGGCGGGGCCTCTGTGGCAAGGATCTCTCATTGAGGCGGGAGATCGGACAACCATATACGGGGAATGAGGAATGGTTTCCTCATTTCTCCCCTTTCTCTTTACAAAACTCTCCCGACCCTCTCGATTCCCTTGCTCCAAATGTCAAATTTCATATTATACTCACGTTCCTTACTCTCATTACTTCATTAAATTCTTAATTATGAATGCATGATGATAACTGATTGAAATGGGGAGGGTTTTGGGTAGTTATTTGTAACGAAAACGGTTAGTTGGGATGGTTGTAGTGGTGTTTCGGGGAATTTTCTATGTGTTAGAGTGACTAGGCTGTGATCAAGAACCTAGTAATTGTAGGTTGATTAGGAAGTACTTGGGGGTAAGAGTACTATTGTATTTCTGAGTTATTTGGAGAGAAGATAAAGGTGGAGAAGCGATGGGTGTTATCGTCTGTTCTTATCATTTGAATTTTATCTTTTTATGATGTCTAGCTAAAACCCCAATTCTTGGGGTGTGATTATGTGATTATGGGTTGATTTAGCTGCTGGGTATTGTTAATTGATAGTGTAAATGGTCTTTAGAAGTGATTTCATTCAGTAATTGTCACTTAATCTAAAGGGTTGTAGTTGCAATGCAACTCTACCTTCATATTTTTGGCTTGCTCGAGAAAGTGGTTTTAAAACATAGATTACTAATTTGATGGTCTGTGGGTCTTGGGTTGTCATGGGTTCAGCTCGAGAGAGTGAATCCTAAACCCTTTTTCCACACATTCAGCTCGAGAGAATGAATGGACCAAAGATAAGGTTGTTCTTAATTGCTGCTTATTAGTGTTCGAGAGAAACCAATTAGATTCAGGGTAAATTGTTCGAGAGAAAATTTATCCCCACTAAAGTTTAGCTTAGTCACTGATTTACAGCTATTTACTATCAATTGCGATTACCCATTTGTCTACCTTAGCCCATAATCCGATCACATCCCAAGAACCCGTCTCATTACTTGTTTATTCGTGTTATTTGTTGTTGTAGTTGATAATTACAATTAAAAACCCCCATATTTGATACTTATGTCACCCTTTAATTTGAACTATGCTTTTATTCGTAAATATTTTTACCTATGATTGACTTGAACATATTCGTGTTTGGCTCTTGATTCTCAAACACGTACCACTCCCTATGGGAACGATCCCAACCCAATTGGTTGAGTTATATACTGACTAACGATCGTTGACTCTTAGAAATGGATTAAGTGTCATTGAAACGTTATTAATCAAGTACCCAGAGTCGAGTATCTTATTATTGAGTTGAGCTTTATTCCATTGAGTTGAATATCTTATCATTGAGTTGAACTATGTTTCTTATTCTTGAGTTAAGTATAGCATGACTGAGTTGAGAGGAGGTAAGTGTGTTTCCTTTTATTAAGTTCAAGTTTATGTTATGCTTTAGAATTCCCTTTACATGCTCGTATAATCCACGTACTGAGCCATTTGTCTTGCATCATTTCATGATGCAGATACATGTATTTAGGGTCACCAACAGGAGATTCGTTGGTACCACATGGAGTTCGAGTTAGCTTTGGTGAGCCTCCTTGCTTTCAGAGGATTTCATTTACCTTTCAATTTTGTCAGGATGTTGTGGGTCCTTTCCCAACTTCCATCATTGTCATTTAGAGGCTTCATAGATAGACAGTAGAGTTTCAAAAGTCTGTTCATTTATTTTGTTAAATGTTTTAAAGACTTAAGTTTCCTATTTTGTGGCGAGTTGAATATATTAGTATTATTCAGAGTTTTTCATTTGATTTAAAGCTTTGTATTTGGGTTTCATAGATTTTTATTTAGTTTTTAAGCTTTGTATGCTTGAGTTAGTCTTTCGCTTATAGTCAGCCAGGATGAGGGTTCTCATGGGAACCACAATGGTTCTCGAGTGCCGGCCACGTCCAGGGTGTAGGCTCGGGTCGTGACACATTTTAAGCGGCTACTAGACTAATTTATAACTTAATAGCATAAGATAAACAAATTTTAGTATATGAAAACCATAAATTGAATATTATTGCATTGTTTAGTCTATTTACTCTATTGTTGACCATCACTTCTTTGAAATATCTAGCATCCCATAGTCTTATATATTCACCCAGATCATCATTTTGCATTTCTACTATATATTTATCCATATCCTGTATTAAGTCATGCATTTGAATTGTACCGCCAAAGATGAACACAAGAGATTTGTCAATTAGGACGCTCAATGTGATACTTAATCAAGAATAACAAATATCAAGAATTTGCATGATGAAATCTGTTGTTTCCCCTTGTAAGAAGCATGCTAAATATAGAAATATATCTCATTGTGTGGTCTCAAGCCCATCATAGCTAATTTTGAAATTTTCAACGATTTCTGATTTGGAGTTCATTTTCATTTTCTCTATAGCATTTTTCCACGCAGTTATGTCTCTATTATCTAAGAAAGAACCCTAGACTTTTACGGCTAAATGAATTCCATTCGCATGACCGACCACCTCCAACATTAGCTTCTCAAATGACTTATCTGCAACTTCCTCCTTGAAAGCACATGTAGATTGAACAATTGAATAGCTTGATGATCAGCTAGTAAAGTCACTTCATATACCATATCATTCTTCCCTATCAAATGTTTTTGACTTGTTGTTGAAATAATCCTACTGTCCTTGCCGAAGCAATCAAGATCCCCTGCTAGGTTATCCAAATGGTCTCCGTGATTTATATTATCAAGCACAACTAAGATCTTCTTAAAACAAAGTCTACGAGCCATCAAGTGCTTCCCGTCCTCTTTATTATTCATGTATTCTTAGTTTTTCCTTAGAAGTTCAAAGAGAAGGATATTTTGCAGAGAGTGCATTTCTTTATTTTCTTAAGTATCCTCAAAGAAAACAAGCACTATCAACATCATCCTTATACTTTAATTCGTGTTTGGCAAAGGCTTTCGCAAGCTTTCCTTTTGGTTCTGAACTTTTGATGGATCCAAATCATAGAAGACCGGTATGACTGTTTGTCCATATTGAGTCTTGCAATCCATATTCTTTACTTTTCATCCAAGCACCGCCTTGACATAGCATAAGTCTTTGAGAAAACAACGAGGGCAACTTCAGACTCTTCAATAGCTTTCAATAGTTCATCTAAGATAGATGAACCCCATGCTCTAGCTTTTAATAATCTTAAAAGGTGAATATTCTCCTATTTTTCAGACCTTCATACAAGAAGAGGAAAAAGAGGAGGAAGAAGAAGAAGTAGAAGAGGAGGAGGAGGAGGAGGAAGAAGAATAGAAAGAAGAGGAAGAAGAATAGAAAGAAGAGGAAGAAGAAGAAGAAGAAGAGGAAGAGGAAGAAGAGGAAGAAGAAGAGGAAGAAGAAGAAGAAGAGGAAGAAGAAGAGGAAGAAGAAGAGGAAGAAGAGGAAGAGGAGGAAGAGGAGGAAGAGGAAGAAGAGGAAGAGGAAGAGGAGGAGGAGGAGGAGGAGGAGGAAGAAGAAGAGAAGAAGAAGAAGAGGAAGAGGAGGAGGAGGAGGAGGAAGAGAAGAAGAGAAGAAGAAGAGGAAGAGGAGGAAGAAGAGGAAGAGGAGGAAGAAGAGAAGAAGAAGAGGAAGAAGTATTGAGTGTTTGCATTTCCTTATTTATTTTTAATAAAATTTGTATAACTTCAACGAAATAATTTGAATTATTTTACATAAGAATATATTGAAATTTAATTATGCAATCACTATAAGAGTCAATAGTTGAAACAATAATGTTAGCAAATATTACTTAAACAAGTATTGACACATAAAAATTCAAAATACTATTATTTTTTAATCTTGTAAGTTGTAAGTTGTACCTTTTATATATTGTAACTTTTATATCTTGTGTATATATTGTGTGTATATTTAGTATCCATTATAAGCGTGTATATATAGTATAATATAAATATTCTAAAATGATATATAGTATATTGTGTGTATATTTAGTGTACATTGTAAGTATATATATATGTTATTATAATAATAATAAATAGTATATTCTGGGAGTATTTGGTACACATTGTATATATATATATATATATGTATGTATGTATTTTATCATTATAAACAGTTATAATTATTTCAAAATTAAATAGTTAACAATACACTATATTGATAATTGAATAAAACTTTCAAATTAATAAACATTGATAAAAAAAATTATATAGTGACTCGGTCCGTCAAGCCCAGTGGAACCTGGCACAGTTGGCCCAAGAATTGGGATAGCGGGTTGTGGATTGAGCCATACATAAGTTTTGAATTGTTGAGCCCGAACGGTATCGGCCCAGTTATAGCTAATCTAGCCTAGCTCGGGGTCGGAGATCAATGTAATTTTTTAATGGGCCGGTCTGACCTGATGCGACCCACTTAACATGCTTAATATTAATATATGATAAACTTCTCATCATTTGCAATCATTTTCTCTTTTAGGGTTAAGAGGTTGCGCCGCAATTATGCTCTCCTCCTAAACCTTAACAATCAAATATAACATGGAAAAGGGCTTCTTCAAGGTTTTCATCCCTGAAATCAGTGCAAAGCGACTGGTAAGTGTACCCCCCCCCCCCCTCTCATGTTCTTTGATGGAACTTTTTTTCTTAAATTTTCTCTTTTTTTTTAGAGATGCAAGTAGCAGATATATATAGGCGAGAGGAAGGCTTTGTTGATAGTTAGATCTGTAAAACTTGGATAACTCGTGTTATTTTATATTTTTTTAATTGTACTTTCCCTTTCATCTTCTTTTTGTGTTCTTATATTCATGTATTTAATCTATGATTGTTGTTGACTCTTTTTCTTAAAATATTTTCAATTAATAGTTTTTGAATATATGTGCTTCTAATTAGGGGAAGAAAAGTAAAAGGTGGATAGATGCCTTTTTGTGATGCAAATAAATTTTATACCGTTTTCTATATATGCTAAATCCCTATTTTTTATCAGTATTATGTTTAATTTAGTCAATCAATGTTAGAAATTGCATATTTCATTTCAAACTAACAATATTATTAGTGTTGAAGGAAGTAATATTATGGTAAAACTATGAAAATGCCTTTCATTTCATTTTATAGTTTCTAAAATAGTAACATTCTTGAATTCTAACATCAAAAGTCTCAAACTTTGAGTTTATTTGAAATATTTTTTTATCTGCAACTTGTTTTGTTTTTATGATATGATTATTGTGATTTAAAGATTAATGTTCTTTTACATTTATTTTTTCAAAAGTAAAACTTTTTTTCTTCGCAGAAACTTCCCACAGGTTATACCGATTACAAAAATGGAATATTACCAAGAAATATTTTCCTTAGGGATCGGTTTGAAAATATGTGGCCTATAGGGGTAACCAAATCAGGAAAAGATATTTATTTTGAATATGGATGGGAAAAATTCATTAAGGACAACATCGTAGAGCTTGGAGACTTCTTTATTTTTGACTATGATGGAACTAGAATTTTTAACTTCAAACTACTTGGAAGAAATGGATGTGTAAAGAAAGGAGATAGGGGTTTAAAACATGTTGTGAAGGAGGAGGAACCAGAGGAAATAAATGTTGAACATCAAAAGAGTGTGGAGCCAAAAGTGAATACTAGGGCTAGAGATAGCAAGAATATTTCTTCTTCTGATGTTAGGGATGGGAATAACATGGCAGGAGAAAAAGATGATGAAGAAAAGGAATGTGAAAAGGAAAAAGAGGTTCCAGAAGAGGATGATGATAAGGAAGAAGAAGAAGAAGAAGAAGATGATGATGATGATGAATACAAAGAAGAGGAGGAAGAGAAAGAAAGGACTGACATATTCAACATAACGGCACCACGTTCCAAAGGTAAGCAAAAATTAAAGATCTTTAAATCTACTCTTCTATTTTATTTTATATGCAATTCAATTCATGTCTTGTTAGTATGTTACTACAAAAGTGACATCTATGAATATTTAGATATGATCTTGTATTCATGTTAGTGTCATTATATATTTTAGAATACACATTTAAAATGATTTTTGAAAAGGTTTAGTTGTTTGGTCCTCTGACAAAATGAGTCTGCTAAGGGAACTTTTTTTTTTTAGTTTTTTGAATAACAATGAATAATCAAGTTAAATATCACTTTCTAATACTTTTGATATATGTCAAAAGTTTGATTTCTTTCTTAAAGTCCACATTCAATAAAAGACGATCTTGTAGAATAAAATATATAGAGTAACTCTTAGTATCCATGTTATTTGTTTGTTAACTTGACCCGTTAACTTTTTTTTGATTCAGCTAAATGCAAAAGTATGACTGCTGGTAAGGTGAATAATCCCCACGACCAATTTGCTACAGATATATTTAGAAGTGGACGTGCAACTAAGCCAAAAAATCCTTACTTTGTAACAAAAATACGTCCAGATAGGAGAAATCATCTGGTAATTATTAACCTATTATTTTAGTGATTGTTTTATAGTTCAATCTTATAATATTCTAATTTAACAAAGTCTTTTTTCCTAATTGTAGTACGTTCCGGCTGATGTGGTGAGAGACTACCAACTTGAACTCCCTTCAAGCATGACAATTCGCGACTCTGCTGGCAGAGAATTTGAGGCAAAACTCAAGATTTGGCAGGACGGTAGAATATGGCTAATTGGCGGGTGGCACAGTTTATGTAAGGTGAACCTTGTGAAGAAAAATGATATGTGTATTTGTGAATTTGTGAGAGAAAAACACATCAAAGGACTTTACTTACAAGTTCACGTTGTCCATGAAGGAGAAGGTTCCCATCCCAACAAGAAATAATATGGTGCTATTTGATATGAATTTTATCACCTTCAGTGTGTTTATATGCAGACAGATTTTGAAGACAATAAGTATTGTTGATTGTTGACCAAACATTGAAGAATATTTTATTTTGTATTGATGGATCTAGAAGTTAAGATAATTAATTGGCGTTAAGACTAAAGTCTTGTTTCTTTATATTCAAATGTTAAATCATTATTTGGTCTACATTGATCTATTGAAAACATGGAATGCCCAGTACTTCAGTTGCAAAATATTGAAGTTGATATGTTTTTTTTTTGTTCATATAATCTATATCTTAGGTAATCATCTTGGACTTGACTTTGAAATAAACTTCACTCAAAACAGGTCTGACGTAGTGCGCCAAGTAGTGCCCTTAATAGGGCGCACAGTGTGCCAAGCAGTGCGCCAACCTGGTTAAATTTTGTGTTTCTGAAGTTTGGCACTTGTGGCAGCACATTAATTAGTTTAATTTTGTAAATAGTTGATTGACAAGTCTTTGTGGGTATGATATCTGGAATAAAAATTCAATAATATTTTTATGATTGCGTACACTTGCGTGGTCATTTTGACTTAGCAAGTTTGCATCTTCTTCTTTGTTTAATCTTTAATTATATTTGTTATTACATTTTTTTAATTATGTCTTGATTTTTTCCATGAAAATTCAGAATCCCTATTATTTTAGAACACACTTTGTTCTAATAGATTTGGAAATGAAACATAATGTCCATTAAATATTAGGGTAACCTTTTTCTTATAGGTTTGATACTACTTAGGATCTATATATAGGGGATGTAGTTGAAGATTCTAAAGGATTTTACACTTCTTATTCTTTTTTTTCATAGTGAAAAACTCTATCTACATTTGCTTGGAGGATTAGTCTAGCCTAACCTCGTTAATTCCTTGTGTTATTTTTCTTTCCTATTTTAGTTGCTTGTGATTGTGTTCTAGTTAATAACCCGCGATATTTTCACAAAATATTTTATCTTGTATTTTTCATTTCTAGAATGAATAGCTAAACCCATTAGCTGAGGTTATAAACTCTTGTGATATTTATAATATGAATGGGTATTAGTGTATTTTGCTTATTTACTGCTTCAATCCATTTTTAAAAAAAACAAGTCTAATTCGGGGTTGGCATGCTTCTATTGTTTCTAATAATTTGTCATGTGTTGCTTACTTGCTTTTAAGTTTAAAGTGAACTATTTTATTTGGATTAATTGGGAGTAGTTCACTATAACATTTGGTTACTTATTTTTGCAAATAGGGTCATGGTAATCAGTTTGTTTACTGTTAATAATCCATTAGAATTTTGAGTTTATTGAACGCATACGTCAACAATAGAAATTTTGGCTCAAGAAAGAAATCTAAGCGATTAATTACTTAATAGAGTTATTAAAGGTAAGATGATTTTTTTTAATTGAATGCCTGTTGCAATCAATAAAAGGAATGAGAGAAAAGGTAAAAAATTAGTTGTCCCAACATAGTAGAATAAATGCTTCAATAAGTATTACGTTGTAAAGAGGGAACACATAATATATCGCCTTGCATGAGGTCGCAACTTCGCGTACCAAATAAAGAAATATAAATAAAATGACAAGGTAACATTTACGCATATTGACCTACATACTTTTAATAACATAATAACTTTTAGTCTAACCAAGACGAATATGCTAAAATTTAGGATGTGATACACAAGGCGAGGTCACGTTTATGTGTTCTAACCGATATATATTGAAATCATGGTTGTAACTTCACATCTTAATTAAGACTAATAAAATTGAACAATTTAAGTAAATCATAGGCATAATTAATGATTTGATTTGTCCAACACTAATATATGTCAACTATAAGATGATAAAAACGACTGTGTTAGAACTATGTGATTCAGGAGTGCCTCATACATTTTAATGGATCAGTAGAATTCCTTACCTGGTCCATTGTTTTCATTGACCAATGCAAAGGGTCATTTCCTTTTGATTAGAGATTCAAAAAGATGACTTGGGACACCATAACTCAATTCCAAGTGATGACTCTATTTCGGTAAATAAAATAATATCTTCTCAATAACGTTATTTTAATTGAAAAAACCTGACCAAAAGGGGTGTGACAATGTTATCCTACAAAATTCATACATCTCAGTGAACACAAGTAAGTTGAAAGTTTTGAGCAATGATGCAAAATCATTAAAATGATTATCATTGTGACTTAAACTTGGATATGGAGATAACAATTCTTTGATGCACGATTCTTGGGATGTTATTAGAGAGCCATACCTACTTGATAATACCCTATAATCAGATTCAACAAAAATACATTTAATTAAACCGAGACAAAAGTTAAGAGAACTTTTAACTCGCTCCACATAAGTTATTTAGTAATTAAGTTATGCAACATAAGTTGTATAGCATATTTAAGACATAGTTTGCTAGACATAAGTTCAAAAAATATTTTTCTCACTCAACATAAGCTTTAGTAGGAATTAACTTATGCAGTACAACATAACTCATTATACCTTTTAGGGGATAACTTGTTTTAGAAATTGAACTTTTGCCTCACTTAACATGAGTTCTTCAGGAATCAGGTTTTACAGTACGAGATAACTTGTTATGCCTTTTGAGACATAATTTATGTGATTTGAAATTGAAATTTGACCTCCATACAAGTTCCAAAAGCTCGGGTCATGATTTGATTGGTTATTTGGCCACCCTTAAATGGTCTCATAAAGCTCCTTCAAACGGCCAGGTGGTTAAAAACCTCAATTCTCATAGAGCTATGTACTCTTTTATTATCTAAACTTTAGAAATCTATTGAGGGCTTTTTTTCCTCATTTGTTATATATTACTAAGCTTATTTATTTCAAATGTTTCATTTTCTTTACATCACATTTTCACTTTGGACATCGAAATTTCAAGTATGATCCATTATTTTCCTAAAATACCTTTTGAAATTATTCCTTTCAATTAATTTATTCAATAAGTTACTACATCACTTATAACTACACTGTTGGTAGCATTACTTTCTTTTAATAAGTCACCACATTAGTTATAATTGTTCAATTCCAAATGAGGGAAAACTTATCTCACTTACAGTTACATTTCTCCATGATTGTTATTCTACATTTGTTGCATGATAGGAAAACGTGATAACTATATTATTATTTACTACATAATAGAAGTCAGTAGGTCAATAGGTTGAATACCTAAATTTTGAACATCGTATTGGTGAAGGTTCAATTCTCCATATCGTAATTATTTCACTCATTTCTCCTAGATCTACCCTTATGTAATAAAAGAACTATTTTTCGTTAAAAACAAAAACAACACGGCCAAAGGAGAAATGCAAGTGATCAATATATGAGAATCCTTAGATTTTTGAAACCTTCTTTTCTTTTATAATTTATTCTTTAATATAAAGAAGCTTATAGGTTAAGAAGGTTGCGCCGTCAATTCCACTATTCTCCAAAAGTTTGACAACCAAAGTATAGTGACCTAGAAGGTCATTTTTGGAATATTTGTAAAATAACCATTTTACCGTTGTGATATCGCCCCCGGGTAATTTTTTATTGGATTTTGAATTTAGTTTTAAACTTTGAGTAAAAGGTTGAGAGCTATGAAATATTTTGAATTCAAAAGGTTTAAGTTGCTTAAAATGATTTTTGGTGTCTTGTAGAGTTTCGGGTCTCGAAATGGATTTTTGTTAATTCCAGTAGTCCCAGAATATCTAAATTTGTCCACAAGAGTTGTCGGTTTCAAATTCATAGTATTTTCATGGATTTGGGGTTCAGATACTCAGATTAAATTTATGACAATTTCGTTGATTAGGGGGTGATTTTAGACCTAGAGGAGGTTTTTGTTGAATTTTCATAGGTCTCAAGCTTGTTTTGGCCTTTTTAGGTGTTATGTTTATTCATTGCGACTTTCACGAGTTTCGAGTTAAGAAAACTGTCACGCCCCGAGGCTACCCACAGGACGTGGACATGGGACCTAGGATCAGGAGTGACCCCAAGCTAACCCTGCCGGCATATCATAAGCATATTAAATAAACTGAAGTAAAGAAATACTGTGCGGAAGCTAAATCATGAGATAAATTGAAATGATGGGGAATACCCATAAACTATTTGAATATATAAAAGTGAGAGTTTAACAACAACTGAATGGTCAAACTCAAATGCTAAAGCTGAATCTAACTATGTCTGAAATAAGCCACTAACTGACTAGAGATGCTGAGACATGTCCCAGGTAACTCTAGCAAAACTAAAACTAAAAGACTACAAATGAAAAGGTAACATGTCAATCATCCTCAAAGAATGAGGACTCACCACTTATGCTGTTGAACTGGAGATCAAGAATCGATCTATGCGTGATCTGAGTGATGAGGGCCTGAACTTACATCACGAGAAGATGTAGCGTAGACTACGCATCAATTGTTGAAAGGTACTGAGCAAGCAGGATAGGATAAAGCTGAAATAAACATATAAGTGAAGAAACAATAAAGAAAGGATATAAACTGAACATGATAAGGTTACTGAATATACTGAATGCAATGACTAATTTTATAATGTGCTGAGACTGAAAACTGAACTGTACCGCTAGTATGGTCAATGCAATAGAGACTGAATGAACTGTGAGAGCTACTAATAGCCGACATAAAACCACATGAGCTAAATGTGGAATCCAATGTATACGCCCCATCGAGAGGACTCAATATACCCTGCCAAAGGTGTAGAGGCATGACTGGCTTGATCACTAAAATGATGTTCACTGAGGGGACTTACAACATACGGGGAACATAGTTCTGGGGCTATAAGGGTGACTAACCCTAGTCCAACTCGGTATTAAGCTTCTCCCAATTCATTAAGCAATTTAACACATTATAACTGAAATACTATAGTATGGATAGCTCAAAATACTGATATGCAAAATCTGAGAATGCAACATTAATATACTGATAATGACACATTTGAAACTGAGGCATGTATGTTTGAAATATCTAAATTA